ATTATTTTATTAAAAGACGTGTGGTTGAAAATGAGTAGAAAAATAAGAATGAAAATTTTAATGTGTACCAAACAGCGGCTTAATATTTGTTTTCCAATCAATTTTCAGGAATTGCAAGATTTTTGAAATCTTAACTATAATTTAGTTTTTTTTTTCACGGGCCAGCGGATTAACCACGGCCCATAAAGGTGCAACCCGCGAAACTCGCGAGTCACACCACTTTAACCCGTGAATCGCCCGCTTGGATCACACGTAGACCTGCGATTCCGAGTCGAGCCGAACCAATTTTCAAGAGCATGACCGCCCGTCCATCATGACACATTTACATAGCTATATTATAAATCCCCAGATCGTTCATATAAACCCCCAAATCGTCTCCCTTTTTTGACAGGCTGAAATGGCTTCTATCTTCAATGGCCTCCCTATACTGGAGGCGGTGGTGGCGATGAGCGCTTTGGCGGTGGGGGAGGTGACTGGATAGGTGGTGGTGGAGAGAAAATTGGTGGTGGAAGTGAGCGCTTTGGCGGTGGGGACGAAACTGGTGGTGGTGAATGTTCTGGAGGAGGGGATGAGGCAATTGGTGGTGGAGGTGATGAGACTGGTGGTTTGACACTTGGAGGTGGAACAAAAGCCTTGGGGTGTTGGTGTAGGCTTGGGTTTGGTTTTACAGGAGTATGTTTGGGTGGCTCCTTTGGACCAGATTCCGGTGGCGAACTTCTGCATCCTGCTTTGCTGCAATCAGACATTCCTGCCGCTGCGCACCACCGCGCCTACGCACTTCTCCAACACCATTTTTTGGATCAGGATTTCTTGATTCTGCTAATTGGTTCTTGTGTTATATACATTTCGTTTTTAGGTATGTTTAGTTTCTATGATTAATTAAGTTTAGTTTGGTTTATGTTTTCATTAACGAACTATGCTTAGAGTTTTTAGGTGTTCTGAGTTTTGTCTTCCTTGTTCTTTACCTTTTCTTAATGTGGACTGGTGTTCAAATTCGTCTCATTTCCTTACTCTCTATTCCCCAACCACACATATCCCCTTGCCATATGGGAGTTTTCTATGCTCTGTCATCTGTTTTCCAATTTGTGGAATTACAAATTAGTGTCGACTCAACTTAACTTGTTCGTTGCATAATGTTTCAGGCTAGACGGATGCTAGCCAAACTAGATATTTACAGAAAGTTCACAAATGCATTGGCTGTTGCTGTTGTTGTGTCTGTGGGCTGGATTTGCTATGAGGTAATGTTTGTATCATTGGAAGTTATGCTGATTATCTGTCCTATTGCTTCTACCTGTTTTTAACTCCTGATTTTTTAATGTAACAACAAGCACAACTACTAGAACCGGGAAAATGTTCATATAAATTGGCTCTTACACTTAGACAAATTGATGAGAACCGCATTCTTCATAATTGGATTATACAGCCTCAGTGATTGCACGAAGTAAGATTATTTTATAAAAACTTTGTTAAAATCAAGAATTTCTTGTAAATTCTGATGAAAAATTAAGTAATAGTGACAGTCATTTTCCTTCTTCAAAACTTCAAAGAAGTTTTCTGATCAAATTAGGTTATATTGATCAGTTGAATGCCTGTGTTTAATTTCCAGTTTTGATTGTGCCGAGGCTAGCACCATCCCTATATAGTTAACACTTAGGTTGGACAAGTTAGGGAGGGGAAGTTGATAGAGAATGAGGATATTGGAGTCCAAAATCTATATGTGCAAGTAATTGATTGTACCGAGGCTATCTCTATCCCTAAATTATATTATTTTTAGGTGCAAGTAATTGTTATACTCACTTCCAGATGGAATTTTTAGCAGTGAGCAATGTTTCCAAAGATATATTTCAAATTTTATTTTTAGTAGTGTGATCTTGTTTTTTGTTCCCAGGAAAATGATCCTACGTTGATGGGAAGAGTGAAAAAAAGTGATAAAGCCTTGCAAAATGCTGCTGATAAAGCTGATCAGTGAGTTTTCTTTAGTTTTTGACAATAATACTATCCTTCTTTAAATGTGCAAATGCTTTCTTTTTGCTGATGCTGCTTTTGGTTCATTTTAAGCACTAAGCTATTTATAATGTTCAGTGCACAGTTGACAAAAGCATACCAAACAGCCATTGTTCTCTTTGAGGTTTTGAGAGCAGTTAATCAGACTCAAGCAGTGGAAGTTGACCGTGAGGTAAACATGAATTATGTGTTTCAAATTTTTATACATTCCATTTTTACATCTAGATATGCAATGTGTTAATTATGAACTATATGAATTTGTCATATTGCTTTTCCTTTGTCTGGCAGTGGCCGCCAGCTCTGATTAATTTGGTTGTGTTATGATTCGTTTTTTACTCTTGGAGGAGTCACCATGAAAAATAACTGAAGGATAGAAAAATAACGATCCTAGCACACAGCATAAAAGTCAAATTTTTTGTATCTTACTTGATTAAAAGCAATGGTATCAGTAAAATAGTCCAATAGAAGTCAATAAGTATGATAATAATAGTAAAAAACGACCCTCATAAGCTTAGAGGTTGTTGTTGCCATACAATGTGTATTTTTAAGAGATTTTTTTGGTACTGGTGGCTTCTTTTATAGACTAATAACACTTGTGAAGTAGTTCTCTTTCAGGGATGTGATAGGCCACCCATACGTTTT